TGACTCCAAGCCCCCTCAAAGAGCCAACATCCCAACCTCCCAGACATTAGACGCCCCTTCTTCTTCCCTCTATCGTTTCTTTTCTTTTTCTTTTTTAACTTTTTCAATCAACTCAAACTTTAATTTTTAAAGTAAATTTTGTATTAAACTTATTTCTTATATCTCATCTCTATATTATATTTTAACATTATTTATTTAAGAGTTCCTATAATTATAAATATAATATTTTGATAACATGATTAAAGAAATGGGTTATTTACTAAATGTGTTAAAGCCGAGGGTTATTGAATTTGTGTGTGTTTGTTTGGTAAGTAAAGCAGCCCCATGTTCTGTTTGGGTGGTTCCTTGGCCATTGGGAGAGACGATGCGCCACTTCCCATGCCAAACTTGTCCCTCCCATATTTCTATTCTCCTCACCACTCTTTAAGACTTTCACCATTGCTTTTTTTTCCTTTTTAATTATATTTATTGCAAAGACAAAAATAATAGATTATTTCAAATATTTTTTATGGATAATAAAAACTAATATTTATATTTATTTTTACCTATATAACTTAATCTTAAATATTATATATTTTAAAAAAATTAAGGATAATTGATCTACAACCAACTTTAAAACCATTGACCAAGACTATGCCACGTCCACACAACCTTTTCCCTCTTCATCTTAATTGGCTGCAAACTCGTACAGTTTCAAAATTTATGGTGCCATATATACTTCATCTATATCTGCTCCTTAGATTCATCGAAATAAATATGTAACACTTGCTTCTTTTTTAATTAACTACTCTTACACGTGATTCTCTGTAATTACGAAAGTGATAGTGAATCTTAACAACAGTCAAAAAGTAACTTTCGGAAATTTAATAATAAATCAAAATATTACTCCCTTAAATTATATCACATTTTGAATTAAGTTATATAAATTAAAATAAACACTAATTTTTATTATTTAATAAATTTATCAGTCTTTAATACACTTATCGTCTTAATATATTTTTTTACATCTAACATACTTATTATCTCTTTTACAATAAATATAATTAAAAAATAAAGATATAATTAATAAAGAAATAATTAATACAATCTTAAACTTTATAAATCATTTACAACTTTCCCAGGAAAATATCATATGTTTTATTTAAAAGGAAAAGAATATTATGTATTGAGTTTAGATATTTTATATTATTCTTATTTAGTCAAATGTTATATTTATAATATAAATATTATAGATTTCCTAATAGTATAATTTAGCATGTTAGCAAAAGTCTATTAAGATAAAAAATATATGTATTGTTCATATATATCACATTATTGATATAATATAGTACTTTATTAGTATAAACTTATAATGCATCTATTAACGATTTATTATTATAGAAACCACATAACCTTTTTTATTGGAAGATGTAATTTTTTTTTCCATAGTATTCCATTGTTTGCTCTGGGAAAATCTATTTGAGAATAAGATTTATTATGGAGATAATACCTGCAATTTGTTCTATACGTTGAAGTATATTTTATAATTTATCGGTCTACGTAGTGATCAATATTTTGGAAGATGAGATTAGAATTTTGTAATTTATATTATTATTTATAATTTTAATTTTATAAATTTAATGATTAAATTTTAAATTTTGTAATTTATATTAATATTTATGATTTTAATTTTTTAAAATTTAATTATTATTAAATATATTTATATATTTTATTTTATTTTATTAATAATATATTAATTTTTTTAAAATCAAGATCTGATACTGTTTTGAAGAATTTTATTTTTTATTAATATTTTATATACATTATTAATAATCGAAAAAAGAATAATAAAAATGTTAATATTTATGGTTGATGACGACGTATGTGGGTGTTGGAATTTTTAACCGCAAACCAGATCCTGTTCCAGGTTTACTTTGAAACTGGTGATGGTATTACCACCATTAGGAGTGTGCTATCTGAAAATCAGAAAGTTTGTCTTTCATTTATTTTTTTCTCTTTCATATTAAATAATATATATATATATATATATATATATATATATATATATATATATCGTAATTACTTATATGTAAAATGTTGTTTTATATGACACATTTTTCTTTTATAAACAGTTTTATTTGTCTTGTTTGGAGAAGAAATAATAGATGGGACAGTGTAATTAAATGCCTTCTATTTTTTTTAAGTATATATTTGATTGATAAGTTTAAATCATGGATCGATTTTATCGTTCAGATTGATTTATATTTTAAACTAGTCATAAGTTTTAAATTTGTTCTAATTTTATATCAAGCAAATGGATTAATAGTTAATTTTAGTTTAATAAAAAATATATATTAAAATATTTATATCAAAATAACTAAGTAAAAAATATTTAAATAAAAAATATATTTTTAAAATTAAATTATATTAATAAAATTAATTTTTATTTAAAATAATTAATATTTAGTATATAAATTATAAAAAATATTATTATTAAAAATAAATTTATTATTATTATTAATTTATTATTTAAAATAATAATTAATTTTAAATACTAAATATTAAAATACAATGTTATTACAAATTTATTTTAATATTTATTTTTATAATAAGAGAATAATTTATTAAATTAATCTATAATATTATTATTTTTTATTTAAAATTAATTATTATTTTATAAAATAGATTGGATTATAAATTTTTTTGAGTTAACTTATTTTAAATTCATTTAAACCATCATATAAATAGACTAAATCAATTTAGAACAAATTTTTTTTATCTATATCAAATAACCAAAATTATTTTTTTCAATATCTTTTACTAAGTAAAACAAACGTTATCTTCCTAATAAGTGCAAAATAATATTATAATAAGAAGGTAAGTTATAACGTTAAAGTTTTTTTTTTAAGTGCATTAGTTTAAAAAACATAGTATTTTTATATGCATAAAAAGATATAAAAGTATAAGAAAAAAATTAAATCTTAATTATTTTTTATTTTTGAAAAAATAATTCTTCCGCTCCAACAGCGTGTCCATATATTTTATATTAATAATTTATTTAAAAAACTTTTTTGAAAGTTTTATTTATTTTTTATTTTATTCACGCTTTAAGTTTGATTACATTCCTTTTTTTCCTCAGGATTACATTTTATTCTTTTATTCTCTTTCTACTAATTATTCAAATATATAAATTATGATATTTTTTTATATTATATTTTTTTATTTTATAAATCATATATGACACTTGTTATATTAAAAACTATTATAAAAAGTAAAATCACCTTTCTATATAATATATATATATATATATATATATATAAAATTCTTTTTATTCAAAAATTTCGAATACTTAATTAAATTCAAATATTTAATTTTCTTTATATGCATATATTACGTATAAAATTATATTTTTAAGTTGATGTAGCAATTGCTGCAAAATATACTCTAAATAGAATTAACAAATATTGGATAAGATTAACCATTAAAAAAATGTTAAATAAAATGAACTTGTTGCTGATTGAAAACCAATTTGTTATTGCATCTTACAATATTCAAAAATATAAATTTTAAACAGGATATAATAATTTTAATAAATTATGTTGTAAAGTATTAAACTGTGTATAAATAAACATTTGAACAACCTTTGTTTGAATTAGAAGAATAAACGTGAGGAAATAAATATGAAATAAACATTCAAGAATAATAAATGAGAGAGAAATCTAAGTAATTCAACATGCATTATAAACAGGATTAAGAAGAAAGAAAGTGAAAATAAAAAATCTTGAATTTTTCTAAGTTAAAATATATTAATAAATTACATGTTTTTTTGTATTAATTAGATTTTTTAACGTTTATTCCAAAATTTTACGTGAATATAAACTATAAAAAATGCGAGCAACTTAATACTTTCCTACCACATGAAATAGATACACACAAAAGACACAAGTACATTTATTTATTTATTTTTGTTAATCTTAATTTGTGTCTCTCCCTTACTAATTTTATAAGAAATTAGAAAATTACCAATATTTTTTTAATCTTTAATTTGTTTCTCTCCCTTACTAATTTTATAATAAATTAGGAAATTACCAATAGAAAAAAAAATCTAACCGTAATTTTATATTACGAGAAAAAAAAATCTGCCTATGTTAAAAGATATTAAAAAACTATTTTATTTAAAAGATATTAATTTATTAATTACTTATTTAATTAATATTTTAATATATAATATTTTATCAATAATATTTAAATGATTAATATATAACAAATTAAATAAAAAACATAATTAATTCCATTATTATTTAAAAAAATTAAATAATATTACTAAAATTTAATTACAATTAAATATTTTAAAATATTACAATATTTTGTAAAACTACTTAAATTTTAACATTAATATTATATATATATATTATTGACATTAATTATATTTTATTTTCAATTTAATTATTTTAATAATATATAAATAATTAAAAATAATATTTTATTGGAGTATAGATTATTTATTACATCTTTAAAATATTTAGAAGGGAAGCTAATTTATTATAAAATGATATTAGGAGAATTTAATTTATTGAAACTGAGTAATTTAAATTGTAAGTGTGCTTGAAAATTGAGTATGATAAAACTTAATTAGAAATTGGAAGTTTATCCTATTATATCCAAAATGATTTTTTGAATAAGAACTATATACAAAATTATTAAATTTATGAAAAACAATTATTGAAAGAATACTTTTAAAAAGATATGTGGTGGTGGATAGACGTTTGTTTTGAGTGGAACATAGTTAGCATGGTACACAGTATAGGATTACCCTTTCCCTCAACATAGGATTGTCATGTCTCTTTCCTTTTTCCTTTTCCTTTCCTACCCCTGCGATAGTTCTATATAATTCCCCCGATCCCTCCACCTTCCCCTCGTTCATAAACCATTTCCTTTCTTCAAAACCAACCAAAACTACACATCTTAAATAAAACTCTGTTTTTCTAAATCCTTGTCCTCCAACTCCCTCATTTTCATCAATGGCTGCTTCTGTCGACAACCGTCCATTCACCGCCCTCCAACACGGAGTCGTTCGCACTTTCAAGCCCGCTCAGGACGTCCTGCGTCCCAAGAAGTTACCCCTACCACCACCACTCTCCGATACCTCAAGCGACGAGGACGAAGAAGACACTGTATTGAAGGAGCTGGTTCGTAAGTCCAGCGCGGAAGTTGAATCCTCTATTTTCGACCCGCGCGACGACGGAACCTCCGACCACTGGATCCAACGGAATGCTTCCCTGGTCCGTTTGACGGGGAAGCACCCCTTCAACTCGGAGCCACCCCTCCCTCGCCTCATGCACCACGGCTTTATCACCCCCGTTCCCCTCCACTATGTCCGCAACCACGGGCCCGTGCCCCGGGCCCGCTGGGAGGACTGGACTGTGGAGGTCACGGGTCTCGTTGCCCAGCCCACGCGCTTCACAATGGAGGAACTGGTCCACGACTTCCCCAGCCGCGAGTTCCCCGCTACGCTAGTCTGCGCTGGGAACCGGCGCAAGGAACAGAACATGATGAAACAGAGCATTGGCTTCAACTGGGGTTCCGCCGCCATCTCCACTTCGGTGTGGCGCGGTGTACCTTTGCGGAGCCTGCTGAAGCGGTGCGGAATCTACGGTCGCACCAAGGGGGCGCTTCACGTGTGCTTCGAAGGCGCGGAGGATCTGCCAGGTGGCGGTGGGTCTAAGTACGGGACCAGTATCATGAGGGAGGTTGCACTCAATCCCTCCCGCGACATCATCCTCGCTTACATGCAAAACGGGGAGCGTTTGTCCCCGGATCATGGATTCCCCGTTAGAATGATAATACCCGGTTTCATTGGCGGGCGCATGGTCAAATGGTTGAAGCGCATTATTGTCACTACCCAGCAATCTGAAAGCTATTACCATTACAAGGATAACAGGGTACTTCCATCTCACGTTGACGCTGAACTTGCCAATGCAGAAGGTATTTTCTTTTCTTCCATTTCAACTTTATTTTTTACGTTCATTGCTGGATTTTCATAATTTTTATCTATTCTAATTAAATATGTTTCAAAATTTGTAGCTTGGTGGTACAAGCCTGAGTATATTATCAACGAACTTAATATAAACTCCGTCATAACAACGCCGTGCCACGAAGAGATCTTGCCCATCAACTCCTGGACTACTCAGATGCCTTATTTCATCAGAGGCTACGCCTATTCCGGTCAGTTTTATATTGCCTTTTTTCTTTTTTCCAAGTTCTAGGAAAATATATATGCTTGTTCGGATGGAAACTGGTAACAATAGTTGGGAAAAAAGGATATGATGAGAACGAACAGGTTTATAGTTTTTGTAGAGATGGGTTGTAGCGTGAACAGTTGTATTTTAGGGCGTGTTGCAACTTGCAAATTTGTTTAGAGTTTTTGCGATCCACTTGGAACTGAATTGATTGGATGAGGAGGAGTGAGTGAGTGAGAATAAACGTTGTTATTATTGGTGCAGGAGGTGGGAGAAAGGTGACACGTGTTGAGGTAACCCTGGACGGTGGTGAAACGTGGCAAGTGTGCAGTCTGGACTGCCCCGAAAAACCCAATAAGTATGGAAAGTACTGGTGTTGGTGTTTCTGGTCCTTGGAGGTGGAGGTGTTGGATCTCCTCGGAGCCAAGGAGATTGCTGTCAGAGCTTGGGACGAGGCCCTCAATACCCAACCTGAGAAACTCATCTGGAATGTTATGGTAACTCTCTCTCTCTCTCTTTTCTTTATTTGAAGCAACCAGTGGGATCAGTTCCCCTGCTCGTGGAAGATGTCCAATTCCAAGAACTAAATTCTCTGATACATATAATAAGAATAATATCTACGTCTACTTCATTTTAGACTGAATATGAGCCATAACGAGAAAAATAGGAACAAAATTGAAAATGGGTCATTTTCTATTTCTTCATCCGTCCATTATGTGTCGTTTTTTCTTCTCTTCTCGCGTGCTCATTGACTGCGACCTTGTTTGGTTGGTTCGTACACAACTTTGGCCCCATTCATATAGTGAGAGCTGGTAACAAACTATTTCCATGGCTTGATATCTAAGAACCTCTTTAGTCTTTAGTCAACTTGCCTAAACCTGAGAACTAAACTCTAAATAATTTAGTTTTTTTATTACATCTACAATTACTATCAGGACATATCCAATGTTATATCTTCAAAAATCTAAAATATAGCTTTTTTTCTATCATTAATTCATTATTGATTTTATTTTAAAATTTTTAAAAAACTTATTATCTTCCCTTTTTTCTTTTTTTTCTTTTTATTTTATTTTTAAACTATTTAATAAAGTAATTATTGTAAAAATTTAAATAATTTACCATATCACCAAATTCATCTAATAAAATATTTATTTAAAATAATTAATATTTTACAATTTTTATTAAAAGTTGCTTACAAATAAAATAACTAATCCTTTAAAATATCTTTAAAAGAAATTATATTGAAATTATTTAAGAATAAAAATGAATATTTTATTATATATCTTATATATAAGTTGTTTAAAAATAAAAAAATTACTTAAAATAAGAAATTTATTTAAATAAGTAATATTCAGATCAATAAAATTCATAAAAAATTATTTAATTTTATTCTTAAAAATAAGTTCTCTTAATAACTTCTAAGTAATCAACCGATAAAAATAATTATAAATAAAAATATATCACGTTAAAAATAATTATCTTTTTAATAATATGTTATTTGAGTATTACCAAAATTCATGTGGTGGATTTTAATAAATATTGAGTGTAGTTTATTAAATAAGGTATCCAATGTACAGGGAATGATGAACAACTGCTGGTTCAGAGTGAAGACGAATGTGTGCAAGCCCCACAAGGGTGAGATTGGTATGGTGTTTGAGCACCCCACCCAACCAGGGAACCAATCTGGCGGATGGATGGCCAGAGAGAAACACCTGGAGAAATCATCAGAGTCCAACCAAACCCTCAAGAAGAGTGTCTCCTCCCCATTCATGAACACCACCTCCAAAACCTTCTCCATCTCCGAAGTCAGAAGACACAACAACCCCGATTCAGCTTGGATCATAGTCCACGGCCATGTCTACGACTGCACACGCTTCCTCAAAGACCATCCTGGTGGCACAGACAGCATCCTCATAAACGCCGGCACCGACTGCACCGAGGAGTTCGAAGCCATCCACTCCGACAAAGCCAAGAAAATGCTTGAAGACTACCGAATCGGTGAGCTCATGACCGCCGGCTACACCTCTGATTCCTCATCCCCCAACACCACCGTGCATGGAAATTCTGAAACTACCCACTTGGCCCCAATCAAGGAAGTACTCACACCACCACGCAGCGTGGCCCTCAACCCACGCGAGAAAATCCCATGCAAGCTCGTCTCCAAAACCTCTCTCTCTCACGACGTTAGGCTCCTCCGCTTTGCGTTGCCCTCCGAGGACCAGCTCATGGGTTTGCCTGTCGGGAAGCACGTATTCCTATGTGCCACTGTCGACGAGAAGCTATGCATGCGAGCCTACACTCCCACAAGCGGCACAGATGAAGTGGGCTTCTTCGAGCTTGTCGTCAAGGTTTACTTCAAAGGGGTGCACCCTAAGTTCCCCAACGGTGGGATCATGTCTCAACACTTGGACTCCCTCCCCATTGGCTCTGTCTTGGATGTGAAAGGCCCACTGGGCCACATAGAGTACACCGGCAGAGGAAATTTCCTCGTTCATGGAAAACCTAGGTTTGCCAAGAGGCTAGCCATGTTGGCTGGTGGCACCGGGATCACACCCATCTACCAAGTGGTTCAAGCAGTTCTAAAGGACCCAGAGGACCGCACGGAAATGCATGTGGTATACGCGAACCGGACCGAGGATGATATATTGCTGAGGGAGGAGCTTGATGAATGGGCTAAGAAACATGACAGGCTCAAGGTGTGGTACGTGGTGCAAGAAAGCATAAGAGCAGGGTGGGAATACAGTGTGGGGTTCATCACGGAGAATATCCTGAGAGAGCATATTCCTCTTGGTTCTCCTGATACCCTGGCGTTGACTTGTGGGCCACCACCCATGATTCTGTTCGCAGTGCAGCCGAATTTGGAGAAGTTGGGCTACGACATCCAGAACAACTTGCTCCTGTTTTAGTTTTAGGGCTCAAGTGTACTAGGCTGTATCTCAATGTATATATATATTTTGTTATATATAAATAATTCAACCAGCTTCTTCGTTTCAAGGTTTCTTTAATGTTTCAATTTTTAAATAAAAGTGCACGTGAATAGCTACCAGGTTTACTTTTCCTCCTCAAGTATGTATGTTAATGTTTTGACTACTTTTTATATTAGAAAAATAATTCAAACCTATGTGCAGTACAGCACCACTTTTCAATAGTAAATTTTTCTGTCTAGAACTCAACTTCCTCTCGTACAACTGATTATAGTAATAAAATAATAGTATTATCATCATATTAATTTAATTGGTTGTTTATTAGATGTAGGATTGTGAATTAATCATATCTCTTTTCAATATATATTTGCTGGCATTACAACATGTTGTCATTAATTTAAGCACGAATACTAGGCGAGGTTATGCATTTTTGTTGTTGGTGGTGAATAGACCTAATAGTGACATTAATCACGCAGTCATTGGAGATATTTTTTTTTATTATTGATTTGGTTCTTATAATGTTATTCTGTGTATAGTATTTCAAAGAATAATACATAGAATTACTTGAGATGATCAAAATATGTTACTTAATCTTGTACCAAATATGTACCAAGAAAAATACTTGTCCCAAATATGTTACATCTTTTAAATATACATTTTGCTAAATATATCGCCCCAATTTACACAAGACTGACACATGAAAGTAAATAAAAATCCAAAAATTAATGGAAATTAGACTACCTATTAATTAGCTTAGTCCCACATTGAGTCGTTTGTTTTTCTTATTCTAGACTATATATAAGAAGCATTCTTCTACATTTTAGGGAGAGAAAAATAGAAAATATTTTTCCACTTTGAGAAAGTCATTATTTTTAAACTCTCATTTTGAGATTTACTCTAATTTAAAACTTTTCCTCTGTAGTTTTAATATTTTTCTTTGATTCTTGTTTAATTTTGTATTGGATGAATAACAACACCTCTTTGTTGCTTTCATGACTAGATTGATATAGCTTGTAGATGTTAGATGCTTTCCTACATTTTATTATTTGTTTCTCTTTATTTATGATATTAGTTAATATTTTGTGTTTAACATCTTTTGTTAATATTTTTGTTGCATGTAACATCTTTTTAATATTCTAACCGATCTTCTGTTGAAAATGAAAATACTTTAAAGAAAGGTTAATACTTTGTCCAAACAACATAAATATTCTTTTTATTTGTTTGTTTTCAATAATGTAAAATAATTGTTTTATAAATTATGTTACCATTCATATTTAATTAGAGGTAAAAGTATCTAATTTCTTTTGGTAAATTTTTCTATATTTTTTTTAATAAATGAACATGACAACTCTTTTACTTTTTTTTTCATATCATTTTTGTTTTCCTAACATGACTTTTTTTTTAATAATGTAAAATAATTGTTTTATAAATATGACGTGATGAGTGAAAATAAATGGAAAAACCATCACCTTTATACTAAATCAAGTATCTTCATATGAAAGTCACCTCACGTATACTTATGTACACATTATTCTACATATAACAAACAATCGACTATTTTGCAGAAAAACCATTGTCATAAGATATTCTCTTTTTCGAGATATCGAGAATGGGACTCACATGAATGTAATGAGTAGACTTACAAAAAGAGACAATTTGATGACATAAAATATGAAAATATATATATATATTATACTTAACCTAGACTGAGAATTTTAATACCTGATTAAGATAATACAGGAAACAAAACACTACTGGGATGTATATATAATACCTGGTTAAGATAATCCACTTTTGTGATAATTACAAGGGGCTGTTTAAGTTAACAGTTTGCAGATTTATTTAGCTGAATGGAGAGAGGGAAGTTGGCACTGAGAATAGTAGTTGAGGGTTTTATAATTATTAGTCATGAGAAACTAATATTGTAACCAGTTTCATCCAATACTAAGCGCGTTACCCTTCACACTTACGTTAGGTCAAGGAAAGTTGCGTGGTGTTTGGCGCGCGGAAAGGTCACCTTACCATATACCTTCCAGTTTCCACGCACAACTATGCTGCCTCTCTTTCTCTTCACACTTCGTCTTATTTATGAACCCTTTTGCCAACTATGCACACTACTTCCACATATATAATATTAGAGTGGTGATATTTTAATAATCAGAAATCATGTAATCCTTCACATAACTCACTTTTATTAATATAATAATTGATTGAATAATTTAATAAAAATAAAAATAAATTAAAACTATTATTATAATATTAAAAAAAAGTATTTACAGAAGTGGTATGAATTTAGGTTGTTAAAGTATCATTTTTCTTAATCTTATACTATATCCAACAACTCAAGTTCAAAGTTATTATATTATCAAAACAATAATAAATAGTACCTTTCAAAACAAATAAGCACTTGTAAAGGATAATTAATTATTTTCATATAGTACACTTGTTTTTTCTCTCATTTTTCAACCTTTTTTTTTCTTCTAATTTTCGCTTGATCACATTCATTTCAACGTTTTCCATTTGTAAAAGTTATTAACGACAAGAATCAAATGTACATTAATAAATTATGTAAAAGTTGGAAATGAACTCCAAGAACCTTGGGAAGAAAGAGAGGAAATGATTAACAAATACGTATGTACTTTGTATATATATGATGCCATGCGAAAGCAGATAATTATTTGTTTAAAGAATTAGTAAATCAAGTTTTGTCTGTGTGTTGCGTGTGTACAACTCCCAGCTAATTAATTATATTGCTATTTATGTTCCCTAAACAGGGAAAAATAATTAAAAAATTAAAACAATTTAATTAGTGCTGATTTAACAAAAAGGTACGTAGCAATTTGTATTAAAATAATGCATAAATGTCTACTTGTATGTTGTAAGTTTTCATAAGTTTCAGGTTAATTTTTTTCTAGTGACTTTGCCATTTGCTAACAACTCGTAGATACAATAATCAGAAAAAAATAATAATAATAATAATAATAATAATAATAATAATAAAAGAATTTAAAGTTTTCAGAGTCAAATGTAGCGTAAACCCAATCTTACATTTTTGTTATGCAAAGTTTAATTAATATTAATGTTCATAAATAAATATTTAATTTTTTGAAACTATTCTAAATTATAAAAAAATATTGGCTCAGCATATTTTATATATATATATATATATATATATATATATATATATATTCATTTTATATTCTTAATTTTTACTATTTAATTAATCAGTTTTTCACCAAGGACATTGGTTGACAGATTCATATATCATAAGTATGTTTAAAAGCATTTGCTCTTCCTCCATAAAAAAAATATATATATATTAAAAAAAGTATTTGGTCTTGCTTATACATAAAATGTTTTTTCCAGGTTGGGTGTTAATTTTAAAAATGTTTTACGTTTAGGTTTTTAATCAACTGCTTTAAGGAATATTATATTTAGTATCTGTTTTGTTTCAGGTGACAGATTTAAAAGAGCCAAGAAATAAAGAAAAATATACATTTTCAATTAAGAAAAGTGTTCAAAGAAAATAAATTATATGCTTAATCCATGATAGAAAACAATTAATCAATTATGTGATATTTAAAAAAAATACTTTTTATTTAAAAAATCATATTAAAATAATAAATAAATTTATTTTTCATTCATATTTTTTTTCTTTTCGTTTCTTTCATTTTTTATTCTTTTAAATTTACTCTTTAATCCAAACAAAACTTAGAGTTTGTATTATTAATGAAATTGTTTGACTTAAGTAGTATAATGAATTACAACCTGTAATTAATTTTCTTAAAACATCATAATACTCCTCCACTTTATTTACATCAGACCCTTCTTTACTTAAAATAAATACAATTTGATTATTTCTGTAAATATATACTATGACAAGAAAGTAGAGAGAAAAAAATTGTGAAATAGATTTTTTAAAGGAACAATTTTAAATTTATCTTTTTTCTTCCAATTCAAATTCCAAAAGTCTTTTTTTTTTTTTTTTTTTTTTTTAAGTTTTAAAAGGGGTTTGCATGGTAACCTCTTTGGAATGGAAAATGAGACAATGATATTAAAATTGGTAGATTTTATAATTATACGTGCTATTGAGTATTGGACAATGAATTTAAGTAAAACTTAATTCTATAAAATTGATTTGTAAGATAAAATTTATAATTTAAATTTATGTTTGATCATATTTTTAATTTATGTTAATTTTTTTTTAAATTTTCATATTGAGGTATGTAGATAGCTTGTGAGAGTTTTGTGCAAGGCTCCTAGTTTATAAAGCCGTACCTTGAAGCATCTCCATTCCAAGGTAAGCAACAACTTTATGAATACTTATTATTAATGAATAAATTATCTTTTTACAGAATAAACAAATCTTAAAATATGACTCATATTAAATTGTTTTAAGTTAACTAATTAAATTTATTTTATATTTTTCTACATTTAAATTAAAACAATTACTCCTTTTTACGGAAAAGAAATTCACCTCTCTACATGATGTGTATATATATATATATATATATATATATATACGTATGAGTTAACGAAACACTTTAATTATAGTTGGTAATTCCAAAGTAAAATCCATTTTCACCAAAATCTAGCATAGCAATGATAAATATAAAGATGAAAAACATATAATTAAAAATTAAAAATCGGAAATCAAGTATATGATATACCCAGAGTATATTGAAACTTCAAGAGTTGGTGAAGAGAGAAAGAGTGATTGGGCTATAATCCAATGTCATTTGACTTGAAAGAAAAAAATTAAAACTCCGAAAAAGGGGGTTGTGAAGAGAAAAAGAGTTTATCCCAACTTAAAAGCAGAAATAGATGGGCTTTACGTATAAGCAAGCCCAAAAATAAGAATTAGTAATTGGGTTGAAATGGGCTTGGAGTTGAAAGCAGTGGGTCTGGAAGGAATAGATAAGGCTGTGGCTATAGCTATGGTGCATACTTTGCAGAGAGAAAAGAACAGAAGATGGCGCAAACGCTGGCAATGCCCGTGGCACCCTCACTCGCTATCATCTCCAATACTCGCCTATCCAACACAGTCTCCGTTACCGTTCCGAACCCTCATATTCCCAAGGTAACGACATAAAATTAGGGTTTCGTGTTTGGCACAGTAAAACATGAATTGGAGGTGTGTGTGCAGGTTCACGGGTTAAGCATCAAGTGCGCTCGTGTTGGCGGGGTGGAGATTCCAAACAACAAGCGGATCGAGTACTCGCTGCAGTACATTCATGGAGTTGGGAGGAATAGAGCGCGACAGATCCTGTATGACATAAACATGGATAATAAAATGACGAAGGAGCTCAGTGAGGAGGAGCTCATCACTCTCAGGGACGAAGTCTCCAAATACATGATTGAAGGGGACTTGGTAAAATTACATTTTTTATTTTCATTTCTATGAGTTTCTTTGTGAATTGTAACTGACCGTGAAATTCGATGTTTTGGGGGCTTCAGAGACGGTTCAATGCGATTAATATAAAGAGACTGAAGGACATTCAGTGCTACAGAGGAATAAGGCACATTCAGGGGCTTCCTTGCAGAGGCCAGCGAACCAAGAACAATTGCAGGACCTTGAAGGGTAAGAAGGTTGCCATTGCTGGCAAAAAGAAAAAGTAAACACCTCTTTTTTTTTTTTTTTGTGTGTTTTTACTGTCAATCTTGTAAGAAAAAAAAAATTAATGCTCACTGCAATTCGATTGTTTTGTTTAAGTCGCGTGTAATTTATTCTATTTGGAAATTCAACTAGTGTTACTTGGCAATATATCCCACGAATCACTCACTACTTGGACATGTTGAAAATTTAGTTCTGATCTGACAGACTTACATAATGTACTACCATTAGATTAGAGATATTACAAATAAGAGTTTCTTGGAATAAATTTCTCTACAAACACTTTTTTATTTTTTACAACATTCATAAAATCTTTTTGGAAAAGTAAATAAGAAGAAAAAAGATAGAAATAAATTTCTTTATAAACTTGAAATAAGTTAAACAAAAAAAAGAATTTCCATAAGCTGATATCAAAGAGTTTCTACAAATTATTTTATGTATAAGTTAATTTTTAGCTACAGAGAAAATAATTTAATTTTTCTTCTCCAGTATAAATGCTTAGGGAGAATTTTCTCTAAACAGACCCTAGGTGGTGTTGGGTTAAATGGATTGGTTTGATTAGATCCTACTTCCTAGCTTTTTTAATTGGTTCTTCAGTATGTGCTGTTCAAATGAAAATGATAGGATATTTAAAGGGATTATTGGTTTGGTTTAGTAATCCAAAGTGTTTGAGTGTAGTGCCTTGAAGCTTAACAAACGTTATAAAAAATGCTTCAGTCTTAGATTAGGGCCTTAGATTTATTTTACTACTTTGTTCCTAGACTTTCAATGTAAATGATCTGTATGCTTGATCGTAGGATCATTTTTGGTGTGGGAAACTGATAGAAAATTATTGATTAGTCTCTTAATTGTGGAAATTTTTGTCAATGTTTCTGTCCTTTTACTCTTGCAATAAAAGAATTTTGTTTGAAATGTTTGTTTCACCTGTACCACTGCCTATTGGAATGTCGTCTGTTGTCAGCTCTATTTTAAGTGAATTTGCCCTAATTGCTGCCCAAACTTCTAATTTTCTTTTACATTTTCACCTGTCCCGCATATATGTCCTATATCAGTGCAGTTATTATTTTATACCTCTTAGCATCACTGAATGCCTTGTTCAATTGTTTTCATGTCAACTGATGTCATGTTGAACATCCAAGTAACAAAAAACAGGTGCTTTTAAATTATTAATCAATCATAAACTTGTCAGTGCTGTTCATTTTCGTGTTGAATTATGATTATTTTACTCATTACCACCTGCTGCTGATCTCATTAAAATGTAAACTTATTTGTGACTAGCTGAACTAAACAAGTAATTTGCGCATTGTCAAGCGCACGATAATATCAAGATGTATCATTCCTCAAATTACCATATAAATATTGGATGAACCCTTTTATAGATCGAAATAAGCATTTTTGGCTAAGTTTGGTAAGTTATTTTTAGTGAATGTAACTGTCAACTAATGAAATGAACTGAATCAAATCATGATTGTTGTGTGCCTGTAGTTGTAGCAGTCCGGTAATGGTACTACTAAACCGAATTCTTCTATTCCATTTAAAGACTTATTGAAGATCTATTTAGTTTCTATAAATTTACATTTTATCGTAATCAAACAAGGGCATAGTATAGATTAGATGCAAAATGTGTCATTTCAATTCAATAGTTTACAGAAAACAGCAGCAAACAATAGTTGTAGCATGCTTGATTAGGAAGGCTTGGAAACAGCCCAGTCTTTGCCTCAATAAATCACTACATAGAGTAATTGTAATTGTTTATGTAAAGTACAAAGCTGATGACTATAAAGGAAGATGAATATGAGGACGGGTCTCGTGGTTCCCGGCTTTTAATTAAGTAGTAATACCGTATAGTATTAAATGGTTATATGACTGCTGTAAAAAGAGTTTTTATATTTTAATCTTGACTGTTAAAATGTTGTAGTTTTCATTTCTTTTAAATAAATAAATAAAGTTTTATCAAGTAATAAATTTTAATTATTAGATTAAAAGAAAGTAGGATGATCAAAATAAGAATTAATTTGAAAAAGAAATTATAATTAATAAGTTGGATTTGAGGGTTCAACTAGTAGTTGTAGTTATAATTGATTAACTACAACTAAAATAATTTTATATCCCTCAATAATTAAAAATTTTAGTTGAATATTCTTCATCAAGAGTTTTTAGTTAATAAAAACTAAAAATGAAATAGTTAGTTAGGGAGGGATTAACTCATTTGAACGAAACAGTTATGTTCATTTCATTCTTAAAAGGACTAATAAAGTTCATCTATACAAAGTTTCCTAAAACACCTTTAAAGAGAATTTTAGTAAGAATTGTTTAGAAATAAAAATAAATATTTTATTATGGATTTTAGTAATAAATTATTTAAAGTTTAGTCAGAATTATTTATATAAATAATTTTTTTCAGAATTTATAATATAATATTTTTTATTTTTAAATAATTCTTGTTAATAACTCTTCTGGATGCTTTTAATAATAGTCTTCTAAAATAAACATTTAAAAAAAAGTGTTAACTAAATAATTGGATCATTTTCATTGTATATTTTGTGAAATCTCGTTAATAGGTTAAAAAGAAAAGTTCAACAATGTATTTGGAACATCGTTTTTAACGAATAGGACTAATTGATATGGCCAGTTCAATCCTGAAACAAATGGCCCAGTTTAATCTGACATTCCCACATGGGCTATGAAGAAAATTGTTTTGTTGAATCCAAACCATTTCTGTTTTGAATTGGTTAAATCCTAGACATAACCCTCACTATGTCACCATGCTCTTTTTCTCCAGTTATTTTATGTACTACATCTGTCAAAATAATTAATACAAATTATTTAACTATGATTAATTGAATACTCGGTTTCATTTCAAAATATTAATATGCGCTATGTATCAAATTAAGTAAATCCTCACGTTAATAAACACATAGTTTTAAGCAATTTCTCCAGTATTAGTTTTTTTGGCTATAAATTATAAATATATAATTAAAAAAGAGAAGTTACACTACTAATGATTAATTAGATTTATTTGCTAAAAAGTAAGCATTAATACAGTTGTCAAATGTTAGTCATACCTTATCCAACCAGACAATAATAAAAGTAGATTGATTAGGCCTGGTCCAAAATTTGTATTGATATAAGGACAAACCAAAATTGATTTATTCATTTTTAATTTATATTATATCAAATTTTAAAAAAAATATAACAACATTAAGTCAAATAGATTCAATGTTTTTTAGTAGATTCTTTTAGGCCTGGTATAACCATTAGATTAGGTTAATTTGATCTCCATTGATTTTACTCCAATTCCTTGAATTATCTAGATTGACCACTTTGATATTTATAACAACTGATAAATTCAATAAATATTTTCATAGATAAAAATAAAAATCTTGAAATTGTCCTTTGATAACATAAGATTAATTTTTCCAAAAAAAAAATCAAATCTTTAATTTTCTTAAAAGTCATTAACTTGTACAGAACTAAATTTTACTTTATTTTATTTTTCTCCCCGTCTTTATAACAATTTTTGTTTCATATCACTTTTTTTTTTCATTCTGATTTTAATCATTTGGGGTTTATAAATGTGTTGGTATGGATGTTATAGGAGCATCAGTGGACCAGCTACTTTTCTAAATATTAATTATTATTTTAAGATTTTTTTTTTACTTTATGATTAGAATTATCAAGTAGGATAATTACTAGTACATATCGAATACTTATATTTTTCTATATAAAAACCAAAGATGTTTTGTTTTTACTATGTTTTATTTGATGTTTGAGTGATGTAGTAACGTAGATGAAGTATTCTTTCAGATTTTATAATTTTTTAACTCATGCATTTTTTGCTTATGTTCTTCTTTAATCTTATGGTTGACATTTTACAAATATATTTTTAAAGTTTTTATCATTTCTTAAGATTTTTTTCTATTATTATTACTATTATTCAACCCGTGAACAATAATAGTTCCTTATTCCAGGTGAATTAGACAAGATCCATGCATAAAAGAAAATATATATTTAATTAGTACACTTCTAATTTGACTCATTTAATTATGGAGTAGATAGGTCCGAAGAATCACGTCTAATTATTTGTATCAATTTTTTTCTTTTTACTATCGTTAAACTATAGGATAGGATATAGGTCAATTTAATCAATGGACCAATACAATTTAATCAATTAGATCAAAATAATTTATATACATATTTCTTAATTCATCCAAATAATTTTTAAGAATCGTAAATAATTAAAATTCCAAACCATCCTACCCTAATACTTGACACTTTATTTCCTAAATACAAGTAATATCACAGACATAAAAATTTTAAATCAGTAGATTTATGATATAGATAAAAAAATCAATATATTTTTAATTGACTCTAATTATTTTTTCATAGAATCAATGTAATGATTATTTACTTCAACTATATTGAAGTTGAGTCAGACTCAAGATTGCGCGTTTATTTTTGTCAAAAAGATTTATGTATGTCTCTTTTTTTTTTCTGGGTCGAACTTCGGAGGATGTTTGTTTTTTGTTTCAGGGAAAGCTGAGGTCAAAATTTGTGGTGATGCTACTCATGGCACCAATCGCACGAACTCATTTATGTGTTGTCACTCTATTTAACACCAAAAATATGGTTTTTCTTGAGTTAATTGAAATTGTCACTGTTTAAACAATCTTTCAAGTCGCAAGGAGCTCATAACTCACTTTCGTTTCATTGTTCTCAACTACTCCGAGGACCACTAACAAGTTGCCTAGAAAAGAGTTAAAATGTAGTAACAGTAGCAATCTTGTGATGGGGTTTGTGTCACAGTGAGATTGATTTGATCCCTTTCATGTCCCAAAAGCTTAGAATGAAGCACAATCACATATTGAAGAGAGGCATTAGACCCAACAACATGTGGGCACAAACCAAACATCCCACGAGAGGGCTTGGCCAATGTGTGAATTATTATTTTGGTTGACATAAAATCACAACTATCTATGTGCCATAGTGGGGTTCCTTTGTACTC